CCTCTCAATTACTCTGGCACTCAGGGAGAGAGGAGCTTTTAGTTTTGTGTACGGTTTTCTGTGAAAATACCTTGACAGCAGGAGGTTAGAAGTTAAGATGAAATATTGTCTGTCTGCAAGCACATTTATCTATGTGTAAGTGCGTACGTGCATAAGATATGAGCAGTTACACATGTAGAAATGCTAGGAAGGACCAAGCCTCTCATATACGTTTTTTGCAGGTCTTTATATGGAGAAAGAGCTACTTTTTTATGTTATTCTGACATTAAAAATGAAATTTCAGTCACTGAATTGTGTTTTGTATTGAGTCGTAATCTTACACAGAACCTTTACAGCAGACAATTGTAGCATTGTATTTGAAAACTCTAGATTATTTTGCACTTAAATAGATGTTGATGCATTTCGGAATTACAACACAGTAAGAGGTAAATCATGGTTTCTCCATTTTGTTATAATCTAAATGCATTTGTATTACTGTTATTATTATGAAGTGCCAGAAATGCGTACCATCCTTTTCAAACATGTGAAATAGATGGGAGACTGAATTCTGCCCTGGGCTACACTTGTGTATCTCCAGTGAAAAGGCTGTTAAGCTGTGGAGCACTTTCCCAAAGGAATCTGTTTGAAAAGCTCTGCTGTTGTTCTAACAACACTCCGTGATAATGTAGCATCTGAAGAGAGCAAATGAAGAGTATTTTATACTTCAGTTCAGATGGTTGGCCCTTTCTGGCATTTATAAACCAAATCTCTCTTGCCCCCATTTCCACTACTAGCCCTGGTCTCTCAGACCAGAACTACAGCACCTATTTGGAGTAACGTCTGAAGGAAATTGTCTCTTAGCAGTTTACTTTTGTGAACCATATATCACTTGTGATTGTTGGACTGTGAGCTCTTGTAGGGAGGCATTTTGAACTCAGTTATTTGAAGCTTGTGTGCACAGTTCCTCTGCCATTCTAGTTCAGCAGAGAACACCCAGCAGGATGGTAACTAATCATGAGTAGTGGGACTTTAGATTGGGGGGACTAGAAAATGAAATGCTGGGAAATACAGTTCTGAGATACTGGTACAAGCAAGTTTGCTTCATGCTGGAATCTAGAGCTATAGCAGAGGTTACAAAATCAGCCTCTGAATTGTTCTCTTGCCAGAAAAGCAGAGAGTGAGATCTTCAGTGAGAAGTGAAATTAAATTTGCTAGTGATTAAAAGGATAAGAGAGATGTGTTGGAAGCAATTGGTGCCAATGAGGCCTCTCAGCAGCTCCCCTAAGCAAATTGCCGTCTCGGTGGAATATCAGCTTCTCAGTCCATCGAATTGCAGTAATCAAGCCTGGAGCTGATGGGAGCATGAGTCACCACTTAATTTTCTCATCAGTGGAGGCCAAATTTTCAAAATATTTTTAGATGCATTTCTGCAGAGATTTCTAGTCAGTGACCTATAGAGTCAAAGAAGAAATGAGCAATAGCTGCTCTTGAATTACAGTGCTCTCTGCCACCTACCTTACTGAGCACAGTTTGGGCAAGGAAGGCAGGTAGACCAATGTCTTGCAGAAAAGTACTCCGCTGAGTTGATCCCATCACCGGCATTTGCTAAGTTAAGCACTTTTCTTAGATTTCAGTATTCTTCCTGAAGCTGGGGCTCAGATCACCTAAGGAAAAAAAAATACAAAGAAGATCAGTGCAAGCTCTTACTGAAAAGGGGAATAATGAAGAATTACATAGCTCCTAGAATAACATGTTAATTGTTAGTGTACCTGGTAGGTCCAGACCTGCTCTGGCTCTGTGTTGCTCGGCCAGACTGAAAGCAGGCATGAGACGAGGAACCGGCTGCGATCCCTGCTCAGCGAGGCAGCCAATCCTTCAATGCTGCTGCATGCAGAAGAGGCCATCTGTCTCCTGATGATCTTGTGCAGGTGTGTATTGCCCACTCCTTACTTGTGTTCAGAGTTGCCACTCGGCAGAAGCATTTTTCATGAAGTGAACAAGGAAAAACCCTCTCTGGACAGCATCTTGTGTGGGTGGGTACCATCAAGTATGACTGTGATGAAATCAAAGGTTTGCAGATGTTCCTCTCCGTAAGAGAAAAATTACTATTCAGTTATGAAATGGTTTCAAATTTTAAGAGAAATCAGGTCTCTTAACAGAAAAAAAAAAAAAAAAAAAAAAAAAAAAGGGTTGCCTTGAAGGAAAGATGATTTCATTGATGCGATTAAGAAAATTATGGAGGTCATGTGAGATCTGGCCTTTTGCCAGAGGAATTGCGGAAAATAAAATTTGAGAGTCCTGTGACAATAATTGGGTATGAAATTCTATTGACAAAAGCTTTTTACAATTCTGTGCTCTATTTCTTAGCATCAGAACAGCAGTCCTTCCTGATCAGTGTCCTTTGTCTGCTGCACAGCCCATACTTGAGAAGTTAGAAAATTGTATCCCATTTCCTGGTGTCTTCTCTGTGCAGTTCTGCCAGATTTCATCTGAAACATTTGATGAAATCTGTAATAAAATGTGTTTTTTTCTCCCCATCTTCAACCTGACACATTCTTCATTGGGACTCGAGCCTTCCTGTGCGCGCTGCCAGCTCTCACGTGGGCCCATAGCTCGCTGTTGTGGCTGTCAGTTGAGGATCAAAGAATTCTCTAGGAAGTAAAGCTGGAGTCAGGATAACACCTTTGAAAGAGCAGTGTCTAACTGTCCTTAGCCATCCAGTGCAAAGCAGCGCTGCTGCACAATGAGCATTTGAGTCTGGATCAGTAGCCCTGAGCCAATGCTTGCACCCACTGTTGGTGCCAATGGCAGCCTGTGAAACATATGTAGCAATAATTGTGTGATGTCTTTTGCCAAGATCTTCAGCAAGTTCTTGCCTGCTCTATTTCACAGTATTGCTTTAAATACGATTCTTTCATATTCCTAATGTTTTTCTTTATAAAAATTACATCTTTTTTTTTTTTTTTCAGTGAAATATTATAGTTCTGTTTCAGAGCAACTGAAAAACAAACTGTGATTCCAACGAGTGGCTCAGGAAGATGCGTGCACAGCATTTGGCTCGTCCATTCACCCTGCCTTTCCTTCCCCAAATGCACATACAGCCCTCAAAAAGAACTGTCTGAAGTGCCCTTTAGTGCTCTGGTGTTAACATCTCTGTTTAGGTCCGATTCCTTGGTAAATAAAATACATCCCACGGGTGTAAAAGTGTACTAAAAATAAGGCTGTGACACAGTTTGAGGCAGCTAATACGATAACTCTGTTTGATGCAGCTCACGGAGTGTTAATGTGGGGAGCCCCGTCTTTCCAGCTCAGCCTGCTGTGAGCACCAGGCACAGCTCTCCTCACCCGACTCAAATCCCACAGCCCATTAATGGAGCGCGGGAGCAGAACCTCCCCAGCACGCCTGTGTTTGTGCCACTGCTGTTTACAAATTCCTCTCTTTCTGGTCTTTCAAATGAAAAAAAGGATTGCTGGGTTGTGAAGTGTGAGGTTCTGTGAGTCGGGAACAGAGTAAAAGTGCTGCATCCTGTGGGGTCTGTGACTAACGCAGGGCCTGTCTAATTGTAAAGGGCATAAGGAGCTGTATGATGTGACATGCAATCACAGGAACGTGTGCCCAAATCTCATTTAAAGTGTCTTCCAGGACATTGTTGAAAAACAGTAAAATCTTACTGTTTGGGGGGGCAGATTTTTAGGTAGGTGTTTGTTGTTTGTGTTTTGTTTTGGTTTTTTTTTTTTTTAAGTAAGGTGCATATTACACATAGAAAAAATGCTCTCCCTGTGTAACAGTGCTTGCATTGAATTATCTTCTGTGGTTTAAGATCTCACGTGTATTTAATAAGTTGCTTTGCTTGTCTGGCTATTCATTTTCCACAGCAGTCTCCCTGCTAATTCACCCCGTTTGCATTTTTAGCTTTGGTTTATACATAAATATGCTCCGGTGTACAGCGAGCAGTGGTTTTTTATGTTTAAAAATTAAATTTGGTGAGAAATTTCAATTCATTTTCCAATATTAGTGAAAACGATCCCAACAGCGTGGTTTGTTAAGACGGCATAACAGTATTGCTGGAAGAGCTGCTGCTTGGAGCTCATTTGCAGCTTTTTCAGAAGCCCAAATTTCAGAGTATATTGTCTTAGTAACAAAATGTTTGCTCTGAACAAAATCCCAGAAGCACAATGCGTTAGCAGAGGGAAAAGAGTATTTATAGCCAGTAGTTCAGCTGGAGTCTTTTGTAAGTTCTGACCAAAGAAAGACAAAGAGATCTTTTTAAGACCTGCTGCCAGCTCCTGGTTCCAGCTATGCCAGGTAAGGTAAGTAATGTTCTTTTGATTAACAGTCAAGCCTTGAGTGGTTTTCATTTAAAAAAGACTTAATTAAGCTTTTTTCTTGTTCTGTTTTGAATGGACTTCCCTCGGAAGAAAACTTCCCGTGACTTTTTGGCCTACATTAAATTCACACTGACAAAAGAGATGGGAATTATTATTAATCTGCTCCCAGAAAGAAGTAATGGGCTTTGCAGGATAAATCCTGCAGGTCACCTCGTGTGCTGTTCTGTTCGTCCCTTCTGCGTGGTGTTGCTTAGGAGTTAGGGTAGTTGTGCTGTCAGAAGTCGAATCGTGTCGCTGAGCTGACGGCTGGGACTGAGGGTCGTCCTGTGGCTGCGGTACAGGAAATTACAGAGAGGGAGTTTCAGCGTGCGCTCCTCGTTTCTAGGAATTAATTTCTTCCTTCAACTCCTCCGTTCTTTATTTTAACGGGGATTCTGCAGCTGAACCTCTCATGCAGACTGGAAGGAGCAGATGAATGCTAGACAGATCAGCCCTTTCCCGACTACCCGCGTTACAGAGCGCAGCTCGGTGCCGGGAGCAGCCAGCAGAGCCCGGCGTTGCTGAGCGGCTGCGGTTCCCGCGTTCCCGCTTCGCTTTGCGCTGCCTCGGTCCCGCCGCGCGCGCAGCTCCTCTCACAGCGGCGGGCCGCGGAGCTGCAGGAGCAACGCTGCCCTCTGGCGGCGCCGCGGGGCCGTGCGGGCCCCGCGTGTCCCTCAGCCGCCGCGCGTGGGCTGGCGTGAGGAAGTTTCCCGCTCTGCGTTGCGATAAGTCTCCAAACATCGTCAGAAAGAAGGCGCACGGCTGGGTAAGGTACAGCCTGCGTGTGCTTTTCTGTGCGGAAAAAGGTCTGGGGGTTTCGGGGCAGTGGTCTGCAAGGCCGGCGGCGAGCTGGCTCGCGGCGGCAGCAGCGCAGCCGGCCGCAGGGAGGTGCTCAGCTCTGGTGAGGCCGCACCTCGAGTACCGTGTCCGGTTTTGGGCCCCTCAACGTGAGAGACGTTGAGGTCCTGGAGCACGTCCAGAGAACGGCAGGTAGCTGTGAGGGGTGTGGAGCACGAGGCTGGTGAGGAGGGCTGAGGGAAGCTGATGGGGCTGTGCAGTCTGGAGAAGAGGAAGCTCGGGGGAGACCTCGTTGCCCTCAGCAGTGACCTGAGGCGGGGCTCAGCCTTTTCTCCCACGTAATAGTGATTGGATGAGAGGAAATGGCCTTAAGCTGCCAATTCAGAGATTCAGGTGGACATTAGGAAAGATTTCTTCTCCAAAAGAATGGTCGAGCGCTGGCACAGGCTGCCCGGGGAGGTGGTGGAGTCACCGTCCCTGCAGCTGCTGAAGAAGCGTGTGGATGTGGCGCTGAAGGACGTGGTTAGTGGGCATGGTGGGGAGGGGTTGGTGGCTGGACTTTATTATCTTAGAGATCTTTTCCAACCTTGATGATTATATTGTTCTTTAATTCTTTCAGTTCATTAGGGTTCATCCCTAATTCAGATATGAGCACTCAGTAGCAGGTTTGTTTCAGGTGACAGAAGAGCTGCAGCTTGCCTTTATCCAGAGGGGATCCAGTGTCCGAATGTAGCAAGAGTCAAATAGGCCTCTGCTATGTTTGTTACACTAGGTATCATAGGAGTTAGGGTGAGACCAGGGCCTTGCTGGTGAGGCGTTAGAAGTGGAAAAATGGTATCACTGTGAAAACCTGCAGAAGCGTTGGTCTAGGTTGCTTTTATCTCTGTCAGAAATAAATAGGAAACATTGAAAGTGGTAATCGCCATTTTATTTTAGTTTCTTTCTAATTTGGAAAGGCACGAACAAGAAGCTTTCATAAAAGGCTTTATAAAAGGCTAGAAATTAGTTTGTGTCTTTTGTTCCTTTAGTGCTCTGGACATCTTTGACTTGCAGCCAACTGCATCTAGGTAAAGGCTGTGAGAAAAAGCCTGCTCCTCGCTTGGCCAATAGCTAGAGTTGTGGCGGAGTTCCCACATGCAACACTGCCCACTTACCTGGCCAGGGTTGTGAGAGAAATGTGCTCTGCATTCCCACAGGGGAGTTTCTCTTACTCTTGGTTGCTGGAGCTTTAATTCTTCCCATCAAGTTCCAGCATGGAGGGTTGATCTACTTCATGTCTGTTACTAGCACAGAGGAGCACACTTAACTTATCTGACATGTAGTGTTTGTGCTACATTAAGCACTGGGAATTACTGGTGACATTTTACTTGACTGGGTTAAATATTTTTCCACTTTGGGCCATGTGTTTGCATAATGTAGATCAGCGAGTCACGTCTTCTGTCTTTCCCTCTATACCGACAGCATAATGTCCTTGGTACCTGGACATCACTTCCTAATGTACATCAGCACACTGATATACAGCGAGTCTGATCTTTGACTTGCCTTTGAAATAGCAACACATTTTCTGAACAACAAATTATTCTTTGACATTAGAAGGTGGCAATCTGTAATGGATATTGCAATCTGAAGATTCAGAGACTAGCTGTGATCTTTGTCCTTAGCCCAGTAAGCTGGAGTCTCTTTTCCCTCCTGCACATTATTTGATTGTAGTACATAACCTTGGGATGTGCTAATAATCATTAGTCAGAGCTGGTACATCCGTTGTGGACCTGCCCTGCTAAGAGAAGGAGACGTTCCCTAGAACAGCAGTAAATCAGCAAAACATGCACTTAAATATACAGTAAAATGTGGTGTGAGACATGATCCTTCATACATCATATAACAAAATGCTTTACTGGGAGAGTCGTGCACATGCTAATGAGAGAAGAGTGCTTCTGCAATGAGACATGAAGGGGGAAAATGGATCTGTGGTGAGAGGGAGGCTAAGGAGAGGCTCCAGATAAGTGCACGGTCCCAGGGTGGTTGTGACCCCCAGATCCTGCCAGACAGCTGGTGGGAAGGTGCTTCTCTTCCCTGCTGTACACAGTGTGGTGCCTTGGAGGAAACTGCAGGGAAAGGGGAGGGAAAAGATAGGAAGGAGGCACTGCAGAGCTGCCCAGACCTGCTGGCTTTCATTCTGAGTCTTGAGACTGTGGCAGAGGCAGTGGAGAGGCTCTGGCTTATCAGGAGGAATGACAGGGCTGCTCTGCTGTTCACCTGCTGAGTGGATCAGGTCATTACTTTGTTGTTGGTCTTGTCTGGCAAACAGTTGTCTTTCTGCAGCTGAACACTGCAGGAATCGTTTCAGCATCTCCTCCTCTTTTCACAGGCATTTTTCATTGCTAGTTTACTAAACATAGCAAGGAGCTGGCTGAGGCACAGGTGGCTCAGCAGGGGCGAGGGAGAGGACCGAACCTCACCCCTCAGCAGGGTGGCCCACACAGCCTCTCCACTGCTCAGTTTGTTGCAGGGCCTTGTGTTTCAGTCTCTGGGTTTCTGGCGTAGCTGCTTTGCCTCCCTTGGTTTGTGCGGTCTCCAGTAGCTGCAGAAACTATGCCAAAGAGCTGGCCAAGCCATCGTGACAGATCCCCGTACTGCCCAGGATCTCATCCAGCTCTGCTCTGTGAGGAGTGCTGAGAACAAAGCTAGCAGGGGTTTCCCCCACTCTGCACATCCTGGGCAACCGCTACAGCTGGCGTTAGGGTGCACGCTTGGGGCAGGGATGTGATCCTGGCCTTCAGAAATGGATGGAAATGCTCCTCGTGACCTCAACAGTGAAAGCTTCCAGCTTTGGACTTCTGCTGTGAGTCCTGTCGCCTATTTTGAAGCAGGCAAATTTAGTGCGTGTTTGACGTTTGCTTGATAGTGACAATTCAACCAATATGGGAAATGTCCACGATGATTTTTAACTGAGCTTTGGGCCAAATGCTTTGCTTAATGCAACCCCTCTGCCTTACATTTAATGCCACTGATGTAGTGGAGGGCTGCCATCTTCTGTTAACTGAAGTTGGGTTAGAAATCTTTTAATAGGGCATCTGCAGCATAGTATGAGGAAGCATCAGCTCCCGGTCAGAGGGGAACACACTTATGAAGGGCTTGATGATGGGCAAAACCAATCCGATGTTGATACCATGGAAAAGCAGATAGAATCAGTGATGGAATTAGACGTTCAGCACCCAGGATTGACGATGTGAAGGCAGTGGGTTTTTCTTTATATGGAGGGGGGGGAAAGTAGCGATCACAGTGACGTGAGATGGGAAAATGAGCATGCAGGTATAGGAGTGATAAGTGAGCATTTCTGTACAGTAGTTAGTTGTTTCTAAATTGTGGTGGTTTTTTTTGTTTTTTTTTTTTAAGTTAGGACAGCTCAAGCATCATAGTGACACCAAAGAATTGCAGCCATAGGAGTTTGTGCTGCCGAAGCTGTACCTGCTGCCTGTTTGATTGGTGGGAGACAGAATTAGATGGGTGTGAATTAGGGATAGGTGGGAGCTCCTTTCAGTACCTTCTGCCAGCAGTTCAGGCACCAAGCACTTGCCTGAGGGATGACAGCCTCACATGGGTGCAGACTGCTTCAGGCTGACCTGCATGGAGGAACTAAGATCCCCCGCTGTCTACATCTGTGACCAACACAGTCATCCACCCAGCAAGGGAAGTTCTTTCACTTCTCACTCTAATTTGCATTAGAGTGGTTTGTGTTTTTACTTTTTGTGCTCTGTCATTTTTTCTTCTAAATCTGCTACAAACACGAGCACAGATTAATTTCAATAAAAGGCAGGTCACTTAAGAATGTGGGGCATTTGAATGATTTGCCTCTTAATGAATTAATCAGTGCTTGGGTTTTTAACAGCATTAAGAAGAGAAAAAACCCCGATCCTTCTTGTCATGGCAACTACAATAAACGAAGCATCATGCAGAAGGCAAGAGAAAAACACAAGCACTTTCAGTCTCAGCCAAGTCCACAAAGTAGCAGAACTCATTACTAATTCAGAGGAGAATGTCCCTTGGAGCTCACCATTACTGTTTTTACTACTAATAATACCAGAGCTGCATGAATTTAACAGAAGGTAGAGTTTGGCAAGAGTACCGCTGAAGTGCTACTCTCCTAATCAGACATCTTCTTTCAGACCAGAGCCTTTGTTTTCTGCAGCCACCCTGGCAAGATCAGTACTGGGCAACGGGGAAAGTGCTGGGGACAGGAAAGGGGCATTTTTCAAGCTGTACCAGTCTGATAAGATTAAATCTGGAGAGAGGGTGGAAAAGGACATAGGTATTTGTAATTTATTCATAAACAACTATGCCATCACGAGAAGTTTTTTGAAATAATATGTGATAGTTCTTTAAATATTTAAGAGTTTGTTGACCTATTTTCTCAGTTAATTAGGAATTTTGGGGCTGCATTAACAATGAATTAAATGCAGTCTACTTTAGTCACTAGAAGGTTCAGCTACACTGAGTTAGAGAAACATTCTTTCTTTCTATAAGGGACGTAAGAGGGGAACTCCATTGCATGCATCTGGACTTGTGCTTAAAAACCTATAGACTTCTTAGTAGGTAATGTTTCAGCTCAACTTACTATATAGGAAAACCTTAAGTGCCTTGAGTCTGAAGCAGATTTTCAGTTACAGCGCCCCTAACCCTGGCCACCCTGCAGTGGAAGGGGCCTGGTGCAGCTGCTCTTCTCAGTAAGTGCAATGGTTAAGACTGCCTCATTTCTGCAGTCTGCATTTGTGAGTACACTTATTTTTTTACTTGTTTATTTTATGATTACTTGACAGAAGATTGGCTGTGTGGACTGCAAGGTTTCATGTCACCAGTCGCTGTACAGTAGCGTGGCCAGAAATAAACTCTGAGTGTGGAAGACTCTTTTAGCAAAGGACATGCTATATTACTGACACTTCAGGAAGCTGAACTGGAGAATAGCATCTCATGATCCACTGAAGTCATGGCAATGTAAGGGAGGAGGTGAAAGCGGGGCTTTATCTGATTATGAAGCATGGAGATGGCCAGCTAGCTGGAGATAATGCAGAGCCCTGCTGCCAGAGCAGGGAGTTGCCTGGTGTCCCCATCAGCAGGAAGGAAGTGGGATCCTGATCCACGTATGGGTGTGTGCTTAGCTTGGCAGGATGGGAGTATTGTGAAATCAGTTGCAGCACCAGAGTTTAAGTCTGTTCTGCTTTCAGCTGCTCAGAAGACAACATGAGCCCCTTCGCCATTGGAAAGGATAGCAGAGAGGGGGAATCACTGCTTTCTGAAAGGCTCTAAAGTTTACATCTCAGGAGGATCATTGTCAGAACTATTTCTTGCTCTTTCAAAGCTTCGGTAAAACAAACCTTTGCCCTTGCTTTCATCACCTTCCCTTCTTAGAATGCATCAAGGTTCTTCATGTTTTCCAAGGGCTGTTTTTGTGGCCTCCTGCTGAAAACCATGCAGTTGGAGGAGAGTTTGCACAAACTCAGAGCGCAAGGATGCTGTTAACTTACCAAGCAGCCTTTGCTGAGGACCTCCAAAGTGACCTGGGAAGGGTATTTCTCAGTGTGTGTTTCCGCACTGAGTGTTAACTGGCCTGACTCAAAGTAAAAGACAAAGTAAATGTTGGCTGTCAGGCTTAAACAAGCTTCTTCATCAGGTGCAAATGGATAGGAAAGGTTTTATTCCATTTGCACCTGATGAGGAGGCATGTTTCTTCCCCAAAAACTGGTTTCTACCACCGTGTGTTTCTTTCCCTTAGATCAATTCAGCATTCTGTGGATCAATGTTCTGTACAAGTGAGTTACTGCTTTTTATTTTCCCATTGAAACTTTGAATCTACTGGCAAGTATTTTGTCATCTGAAACCTAGCAAGTGCACAGACCTGAACCTGTAAGCTTCTAAATGAGAATGGTGGTTTAAACCAAGGGTTTCTAGTTCCTAGAAAGGAAAGGGGAATTTAACGCTAGAAGCTTTTGCAGAGATAAAATAGGAGACAACAGTATACAGTGCAGAGGAAGAATTTCAGAGGTTTTTGCTACAGCCTTAAAGCAACAGAGGAAGAATAATGGTTGCAGTGACAGTTAATGAGCAGATGTACAATATTAATTGTGGTACGTGTAACACGCAGAACAATAGTTACTTTAGTTCTCTTAGCAGCCGTAGCTTGGATACTTTGACTAACACGTCTAGCTGAGCTAGCTGCATCGAGTTGGTACGCCTGTATGTCTGCCTATAGGCAGCAAGGACGCTACTGCTTTCTAGAGTCTGTGTTACATGCATCTCAGCCGTCTTCATCTACAGGGCTGGCTGGCTCATCTACATGGCACTAATGTAGGTACTGCCCACGTTTACATTATTCTCCTTTTCCCGCTGCTTGATGGGCTGATCCAGTTGTACTCAGCTTGAACCAGCACGAAGCTGTTCTCGCGGATCTTGCGGAAGTGCATCATCTCCCCGCTTTCTTTCACAGTGATGACGTTGTTGCCTGGCTCGCTGAAGGACACTTCTGTCCTCTTGTGGCAGTACCGGGCACAGATGTAGCGCAGGCCAGCCGCCGCAGCCAGCCCCAGCACCGCCGTGCAGACAAGGAGGATGCCAAGTTGGGCTGCTATCAGACGTGTCCCTCTGCGAGAGTCGTCCCCCCTCCCTGGGACAGCGGGTTTGGGACCTGTTCTGGTCACCCATGGCAGCGTGTGCCCACCCACCTCCTCACTGACCTCCTCACCCTCCTCTGGCCGCTGGGGTGGTTTGCTTTCTGCCATTTGCCTCCAGGCCAATGACAAATTGCTGACGATGTCCTCGTTGCCAAACCAGGCTGTTGTCACAGCAGCTTCACTCAGGTGAGCGCGTATGTGTAGGGCGGACCAAGAGGTTGCTGCAGGCAGGGAGGTTTCCAGGGCAGCCCCATTCTCAGTACTTGCCTTTGAAAGCAAAAACGTGACAAGAAATCCAGTGAGGGAACAGAAAGGAGGCTGATTAGACTCTCATCCACTACTGACTTCACTCTATCATTCAGCTCTGTTTCTGATTGAAGTGTCCCTCAGCCTTAGAATAACTCTATTTCATCCTCTGGCTACTCAGTAGCATTTGGGATATGAGCTAGATTCAGCACGGCTCTGTCTGTATCACAATTTTCAGGGGAAATAAGGCAGTTGGTGCCATGGGGCAAGGTGGAGTGTGCGAAAGAGCAGAGAGGAAGGTCACAGGCACAGAGAAGGGTCACTCACTGCTTTGCACAAGTCTGCAACTCCCACTGTTGCTGTGGTATTTTGCACAGTCACTGTTATAACAGAAGAATCACTTAATGAACAGTTCCTGTCTTTAGTGATGCCAGCGTTGTTCTGAAAGGATGGATGTATCTTCCCAGCCATGATTTGTGTTTAAGTTCACACTGGGTCCACTGAAATTCAGCACAGCCCTTCAAAGGCCATGGATCAAACTGTGGAACTAAAGGACCCAGAAGACCATTTTGGCATCAGCATTTTTGGACCAGTCACATAGAACCCACAATTTCTCCCCAGAGTCCGTCTTGTCTTCTCAGTCTCCACCGCCTGTTTGAAATCCGCTACCTCTCAGTGTTACTTGGCATGATAGCTCACATTACTGTTCTTGCTTGCTCCTGTGCTTTTCTAGGGGCTCTCCTTGGTGCCAGGCACCTTATTTTATCTGTCACAGCATGACAACCAGGTCTGCAGTCCAGGTTTTTCTGCAGATACCATCCAAGGCTAACTGTGAAACAATCGTACAATTTAGGAGGCCCTCACAGAATTTTTCTATTCCCACTGTGCACCTGAGGCCCAATCCAAAACCTGAGAAATGTACTGTAGTCTTTTCTTTGGCTTCCCTGAGATTTGGATCTGACCCTTAGCTGGCTACTCTCCAGCCTGTCCAGCCCAGCAGGCTCTTTCACACATCCGTTAATTACACCACAGAAAATCTCACCCTCTGCCTTCACTAGAGAATTTGAAAGCTTGCTGGGAAGACAGTGTGACAGGACCACAAAGCTGAGGTAGGAACCCTGGCAAGCTGTGAACAAAAGTAAGGGGGAGTCACAGAGCATCCACTAGACAATTTCCAAAGAAAGAAAGATGCTAGTAAAATATAGGTAGTAGGTTAAAAAAAATTCAGTAACTGAACTGCAAACTGTAGCTGATTGCCAAGGTTAATATTGCGTGTGTGTGGCTCACTAGACCTCCTAGTGTAATCACATGTAGGGATATATTGCAGGATTTGGGGCACTGCTGTAGAAAAAGACCTTGCTCTGCCTCACTTTTTTCTCCTCTCTGTACTGCTTCTGTCCTTTCTTCTATAATTTTTCAGTATTTTTATTTCATTATGCTCTTCTGGTCTTGCCTGCACAATCAGTCTTCCTTTCCATTAGTTCCCATCTCCAGCCATTTCCTCCCTTCTCCCTACTGCTATGCCAGATGCTCACATTACATGTCTCTCCTTAATTTGTTCTATGTCCTTTCTAAATATCTGTCTCATTATCTGTTGAATGGGCCCTTCCTCTTTTGTTTTCACCTCTCTTCCCGATGTGTGCTTGTGTGAGCACATGAAGGAGCATGTTTTCTTTGTATGCATGTCAGTGCTCAGAGAAATAGGAAGGTGCCATAGAAGCTCTATGTGTTTATGTTTTATATACAGAGCAGGCCTTTGGTGACACCACAAGGAGGTGATGACTTCAAGGAGCTTTGGGCAGAGAAATGGGGAAATGGAGTAATTTTGGATGCCACTCCAAGAAGTAGGATGTTATTAGGAAATAAAGCTCTGTAAAAAAAGAAACAGGCTTCCAATTTCCCCCCCTCTTCTAGGATGCTGAGGAGAATATGGTATTATTGTGTGCACAGAACGGCTTGGATCTGCCCTCTAAAAGCACACAGCGTCCTTGGCCTTCACCAGAATGGATAAAGTGTTTCATCTCCGGTAAATGTGATGAGCAATACCTATCAGGCACATCCAGAAAGGAGCATCTCAGCCTTCCACTGGGATAAAATGCATATTTCCAGCCCAGTAACATCCAGCAGCATGAAGCTGTGACCATGGCTGCATACAGAAAAAATTATTTTGGGCTGTTTTTGCAGTGGAACTCTTAGCAACCCAGACATCAGGAAAGAAGAAAAGAGAAGAGAGAGATAAAAACCAATTTGCAGTTAAGGTTAAAAAACAAACAAAAAACAACAAACAACTCAATAACCTCAAAGTAATTTTAGTCACTCATGAGACATATATATTTCTTGGTGCTGTGAAGCAGCAGAGAGCTTTTATCCTCATCTTTTCTAAGAATTTTCACCAGCTTCCAGCAGTTGCTGTCTTCGAAGAAAACAAAAATGAATCCTCCCCATCATCAGTGCTTACCTGCTCATCTTCTTTACACGTCACACACAGGTATAGGTTGGTAGTGCTGGCACTACTTTGTGCCCTGAAACAGAAAAGACAGAGTTAATATGTAATGCCTGCTATTTCAGAACGCAGAAGTAGAACTCCTGAGCTCTACAATATGCATGATTTGTGAAGAGTGCCACTTGCTGGAGCAGCCTCATGGTACGTACAGTCAACACAGACCATGTAGGCCATGTGTTTCATAATGTCTGATCATTTAGTCTTAGCCTCATCATTTACACCCACAGGGTAATACACTGCATTTAAGATCCTGTGGCCTTTCAGACTTCTGAGCAAACCTCTTCAAGGCAATATTTCATAATTGCTTTAAATCCTTTCTTCCTTTTCCCTGCAGGTGGAGAAATAGCTCTGTTAAGTTTTGCCATTTCTTTGGATATTTGCACACACTTTTAGAAAAATATTGCAGCAATCAATTTTGGTCAATAGCTTTTATCACATTTTTCAGTCACCTGGCTAGGCAGCTCTGCTGGGCTGATCAGCACAAGGCCTGCGCTCTGACTGTCTCACTGCCACCATCTGACACTAAAGGATTATTTTTCAAAAATTCAGCAAGCAAGCATTCTCCCACCTGCCCCCACAGCCACACACACCTTACAAACACCCTTTTTTACCCACAGTAAAACCAGCATTGATTTCCTTCCCCTGGACTGCTGGAGAAGCAGCCGTTCCCACTACGTGGCTATCACGTGGTGTGGTACCTGTCAGAGAGGCTCTGCCTGGAGGCGTAGTCCTGGAAGAGGAAGCTTTGCAGAGCATCTGCCATGCCTGGCTCTTGGAAAGCAAGCGATGGTTCCAGCCCTGAGCTGTTCGTGGGGCTGCTCCCTCCACTCCTGCCGGAGGCACCCCACAAGGTTTGGGACAGCTGCGTTGGCTCTGCGGTGGGCTGCAAATCTGAGTGGACACCAGTGCCTGAATCCTGTGCTGGTGTTGGCGTGATGCCGGTCAGGCTGACCAGAGCTGGGCTGGTGTACTGGAGAGAGCTGGGGATGGCAATGGAAGAACCAGAGCCTAGCAAGACAGAGACAGCAAAAAGCAAAGGAGGAGCAGAAGTTGACTTTCTTTGCTTTGTTTCTTTCAAATCGCACTTGGCGCTAGCATTTAGTAGTAAGGATCACAGCAGTGATTTTATTTTTAAGGCACTTGGCTTTAAATAACCCAGACAGGGAGTAAAGAAGCAAAGCCTGCTGCCTAACAGACATTCGGGTGAAATAATTAAAGCTCAGACGTGATGCTATGCCAGAAAGGCTGAGAAACAGATCTAATTGAAATGTAAGTAAATTCTTAGAGCCTTTTACGAACCAGAGGCAGCATAAATACAAACAACTACATGCCTGAAGGGTAGTAGTCACGTTTAGAGACAAATGTATTCCAGTATGTGGGCAGCTTTGCTAACTGCACTTGCTTGTCTTTAGGACCTAAGATTTTAGATTTGGGTTTTTTCAGCAGCATTTTATGGTTTTCATTCAAATCACAGGATCTGGCAACAGTGTTTATCCTGTTGGTACCCTCCTTGGGACTGACTGTTACCTAGGATGCCCATTTGTGCCTTCTCATCAGAGAGTTCTTCATGGCCATCACTGATCTCGCCAGCAGCTGAAAAAGTTAAATGGGCCTCTTTAGCTTGTTTATCTCTTCTCTCTTAAATGGTTACAAGGAATAAGCCGTAAAAACACCCAGCTGGAAACTGTCAGTGACAAACCACGTACCTTTGCTTGCTGTGTCAGCTACGTGGGGGCCAGCAGGTTCCTGCGTGGGTGCAGGTGCTGCAGGGCCGGCCTTTCTGCTGCCTCCAGCAGATGTGTCGTTGTGCCCTCGCTGAGCCACGGTGGCCGATTCGATCCTTGCCCAGTAAACAAAGTATGACTGGACTACAGAGATGCTGTTAAAAGATAATTATGCAGGAATTTACTCTCTCAGAGTTATTAATAAAAGATCAGAATGCTCAGCTAATCAGAAGGAGTGCTTTAATCTAAAGACAGCCTGAAAATATTTTAAAGGATTAGCTTGTCACACGTTTTTATATTACAAATAAAAGATACCAGGTCCCATATGAAAGATAGCGAGTGAAGGATCGCTAATAATTACAATCAGTCAAAAATGTGTGGGAACTGAAAAGAAGGGAAAAAAAGCTATTATATTCACTGTGTTGGTAGAAGCACATTTGGAAAACTTTGAATAGCTCTGCATATAATCTTCCGTAGGCAGGGAGACAACAGAGGTATTTACTAATTAAAACAGGTCAATGTAACTTGTACAAACAGCGAAATAGGTAGAAAAAGCCACAGGCGCTTTCTTCTGAGCCCTTCAGTATTTGCACCTGCCTCACACTCTGCTTTTCATCAGGTGCCAACCTTTAGGCACATCCCCAGAGCGTGGGGAAGCTTCATCCTGGGGGAGGATTTCAGCTCAGATCACTCAGGTGCCTTCGAAGATGAGATAAAGGGGGAACGACCTTGCCTTTCCTGTGCTGAATGGTTCTTGTGAGACTCTTTTAAATGGAACAAGTACCTTCCTCGGATGTAGTAACACAAGTTATGAAACATGGATTTACAGTGTGGCTGGGGATCACCATTACAACACGTGCCGTTTGCTTTCTGCATTAAATCTGCCCGGAGTTTATGGCAAAGCTTACTGATTTATAAGTAATTTGGGGTGGGGAATCTGAGAGCAGGAGCAGCAGCAGAAGTGGAAGACGAGGAGAGAACAGGGAGGAGGGAGCAGTGAGTGTTTCTTCTGGAGACATGGCCCGTGGCTGGTGACATGGCACAGCCTTGGAGAGAGAAGGGAAGGGCTGTGGGGCTGGCTTGGAGGGTAGCAGCTGCAGGGTGCAGGGGGAGTCAGAGTGAGTGGCTAGGAGTGGGTATGGCAGCATTTGGGCTATTTTTATCTGTTTGCTTTTCTCATGTTTTTAACAGTATTTCCCAGTCTGTAACAGCGGGCAAAATGGAAATGCTGAGCAGAAATATTTTTGTTTCAATTACTTTGTGTTGAATCACGATGAGATGTGCAAGCTACAGCACTCAGCAGGAGGCTTGCATTTAGGGGAGCAGCCAGGGATCTGGCCAAGGAGCTCCTAAGCAATTTTGTAAAGTCAAAACAATTTAATCTATTCCAAAATGAAAAAATCCCTGTGCTCCCACTAAAGCTGCCAGTTAGATTTATTTATTTATTTATTTTTAATTCCAGATCAGAACCAAAACACTTGGACTTCAGTGCAAAACAGTGATGTAAAGTTTTGACCAAGTGCTCCTCACCTAGTCCTCCTGGGAGTAACTGTTTGCCTTTAACATGATAAACAAACAAACAAACAGTAAACTAAAAAAGACATTCAACATAGCAATGACGTGTGACATTGTCCTGTAGGCAGGGAAGTCCTACAGGGTGCGTTATTTAGAAAAGCAAGCAGACTGATCGCAGTTCTCTCCTTAAGCCTTAATGTTTCTGTCTCCTAACTGCTTAGGCTGTCATCTCCCAGTGCATTTATTCTGAGAAAACAGTGACCATGTAAGCAAAAAAAAGCGGTACCCAGCAGATACAAATGGGGATTTATATGCCAGCTGGGATGCTGTTGCAGGATTTCATAAGCATTTAGCTCTACAGGATTCAAGAGACATCAAACCACCGTGCTAGAAGAGTACAATGGAAAAATGCAACCAAATTTGTGAAAGCTGAAAGATGAGAAAGACTGAAACTGCAAAGACACTGGTTAGGGACAGACTTGTTCTTACAAAAATCTGATGTCTCCAATGGGTTGGTCCGGCGCTTTCCATACAAAGGACAGGTTTCTCTTCAGGGACTTGTCCGAGTGGGTGACAGTATCACCATCTTCAAAGCAAGACAGCAGCTTGGAGCCAGGAGGAATGAAGACAAATGTGCCAGCAGTTTCATCATTAGACACTTTGCGAGCTTGAAGCAAAAAGCCCATGAAATCCCGGCTGCTCCTCACTGTCACTGCAAAACAAAACATGGGACACAAAGGGATTTGTGTTGCAGTTCTCAGGTGAATTTTTTGTGATGGAATTTCCATCGGCACCTGTGAAATCAGAAGAAAACCTTGTCAAAAAAAACCCCACAGCATCCTACAACCTTTGCCCTTACAATCTGTGTTGGATGTGCTGGATACAGGGTGCCAGACTATAGCTTTGTAGTATGAAATTGCACAGGCAGTCGGTTTGAGTCTTCTTCCCCCTTGATTGTAATGCTAACCACGTTGCATTAGGCAGCATGCAGCCACCTTTAAGGAGAGATTTGGGTACCACACTGCACATACGCAGATGATTGCACGCTGCCCTTGAAGGAGAGTTATTTTGGATGGGGATGGAAAGGGAAATTGGCTGGGCTGGAGGATGGTGCCTCTCAGCTCTGTCTGCAGCTCAGGCAATCAACCCTTGTGCCCTGAGGAGAGCCTGTCACTCATGGGGTGACAGGTAGAGGGGGTGGCTCACCCTCCACAGGCACCTCTCACATGCCACTGTGTGGTGGGTTCTGTATGGGTGAGAGGCAGCTGAGATAAATCCCACCCAAAGCAGCCCCCAAACCTACCAGCTGTCTCTGATGTGTAGCACGGTGGGGATCTGGGGCCAGGCACCACCTGAGAGAGCCTAAGGCAAAGCACTGCAGACAGGATCTCTCTGTAAATACATTCATTTTCTAGTGATGAGATATGGCATAATGCACCTGGAGCTGTGCCGTGAGGATGGTGTCCCTCTTCCCATCCCTCTCTAAGATTAATGTCATCACTCACGATTAGATAGCGTGGATTTTTCAGATTCATAAATGTTTCTTAAATAATTGCTCCTCCGAGTCAGGAGCACGGAGCAGAAAGCTGCTCTGCTCAGTACACTGGGTTTTGAGTCACAAATGAATATAATTTGAAAGACTGCCTGCAAAACTGCCACCAGCGAAGACTAATAACTGCTTTAGGGATTTCTGTGGGACTGGGCTGAGACAGAGCCAGCAGCTGTCCTCACCTGGGACCTTGTCTCCCGGGACATAGAAGGACACGTTGGTGTGAATGGTAACATAGTTGTTCGTGGGGCTGTGCAGCTGAGCCCGCAGGTGCCTGGGCATCATGTCAGCACAGGCAGAGGGGCTGGCGCCGTGCGAGAAGGCAGATGTGGAGGAGACCATGCAGAGCACAGTGCACGCACAGGCAGCCACCGCCAGGCAGGCCTTCTGCCTCTCCTCCATGCTGCGCGGGGACGTGGCCGGTGCACCCACTCTGGAACGGCGTCCGTCACCTTCCAGTTAGCTGAGCAGCCTTTCCCACAGCCTCTAAAAGAAGAAGAAGAATTGATCCCCATGGCACGTGGATCCTCTTTGGGAATCCACAGAATTCCACATTGGGAAGGAAAAGACCCTGCCAGACTTCACGTTTCTAGTGAAGTCATCCAAAGGGTGAACTGGCTGGGAGAGACTTGCTCCAGAAATTCATATTTAGGAGGAGAATAAGGCTCTGTGTGGGCATGCTGATGACTCAGTTCAGCTCCCTCCACCCTTGCTGAACTCCACAAATTCTATGCTTGGCACTATGGATGTTGGTTATCACCCAGACTGGGTGGCTGGCAAAACGCACATCTCCAGATTAGACAGGGTATTTTCTTATTCCAGTTTTCCAGGCCCTTTTGAAAATGAGGATGAAGAGTAAGCACACTATATTTATTGCATACTGTCCTGCTTTTAACGTGGCTCTTTCTAATCTTTTCAACACGCAGCTTTTCCTGGCTTAGATTTTGTTATGTTCAGTCAATAAATAGATGTAAAGACATGAAAGAAAATCAGAGACTGAGGAGGTCCAGTGCATACCTCCATTTACATCACTTTCAAACTTGTCAGCTGATTAAAACCCCTCACATGGAACAGCTCCTGCCCAGCCTGAAGCCAGGAGCAGAAGGATGCAGTTCAACCTTCTGCAGCAGGACACCTTCACACCCCCATCAGCTGCATGCCAGAGATGTTCTGGGGTTCACAGGAGCCTTGGCCAGACCCCCTGCCCCTGCTCTAGTAGTGGGATGCCCTCGTGCTCTTGGAACCAGCTGCAGAGACAGCCAAATCTTTGCTGGGTGAGGTTTCTCGTGGCAGCTCACACAAGTACCTCTGAACAGCAGCTCTGCTCTTCCTGAGGTTCCCAGGCTACAGTTTCCCCCTTCCCATCCTGCCCACGCTGCCTCCCGCGCCCTTCCCCACGCACTCACAGGCAGTGGGAATGTCACCCCCAGGGCTGCAGCCACCCACGTTTGGGAGTGGGTGCGGGTTTGGGCCCACGTCGGCGCTGGCCCCACACTTACCTCCCTCCTGCCTGCTGCCGCCGCGTCCCCAGCCTGCCAGCAATGCATCCCGTCAGGGAAGGTCTTTACTTTCTCCTCTAATGGGAAGCGCAGCAGCTGTTACTGCTAGCACCCGCTGACCACGGGAACGCGCTGGCAGTGCCCAAATTCAACTGTAATCACATTAGTTTTCGTCTTCACATCCCAGTCACCTCTTTTTTTTTTTTTTTTAATTTATTTAAATCTCCAAGCTTTGGCAGTGAAAACAAAGCAAATAGCAAAGGAGGACGGGGGGGTGGCAGAAGGCCCTGGGATGTGCATGGGCTTTGCTGGGCCCCTGCAGAGGCATGGTGGGACGGGAAGCTGGCTTGGACAGGTGCAATCCCCTTAGCCTCAGGTTACCCTTCAGATAGATGCTTGAGCCACAAAGCCTGAAAATGGGCTTCGGTGTGCATGTGTCATGTACAGGCTTGCATAAATAATCCATCTACATTCCAGCACAAAATTGACATGGCCATAAAAACGCTGCTAATGCCCATTGTCACCTTGCCTGTAATGGGCTTTGCTGTACTTCAGGAGGTTGCATGGCAGGTTCTGGCAAAGCAGTTCCAGCTGTAGCAGCATCCCTCACCAGGTCCTCGGACACTCCTGGTCCCTACCTGAGCAGTGGCCTGGCTGTTGGAGCTGGTCCTGGCCCCCGTCCCTTCAGGCTGGTGTGATGGCCACCAGCACCAGGCCAGTGGGGCAGGGCTCTTGCTGGAGCTGGAGCTGCCTCAGGGCTGAGGCTAGGCCTTGTAGCAGGGAATGCACCCAGCTCCATCACTTATGGATGGGTGGGGTGATGGTGGAAGGCTTGGTGCCCTCAAGTCTTCCTCTGCTGACAAACATGTGTCTGGAGGTGAAACGAATTCTTGTTGGTGCTATGGCCTCTGTAGGACACTGCAACACTCTGCTCTGGAGGAGATTGGTGCATGCTTTGGTGAAGTTAAAACATCTGTTTAACTGTTCTGAGAGTGTGGAAACTGGTGGTACTGGGCTCTTAGCAGACTGCTCTCCTCTGTATCTGAAAAAGGCCTTAAATTCACTGGATTGCAGTATATGATGCAAGGCTTCTGGTTTTCCTTCTTTTTGTCAGTGGAAGAAGGGAGTTTTAGGTGTAATAGTTCAAAGAAAGAGAGAAATACTTTGTATTAGTGCTTCTATTTCAGTTTGCAATTGCCCATGTTTACATGTTTTTCTGAAGAGTATATTTAAGTAATTTTATTTTAGTACCTAATCCTTTCTTGAAATGAGCTAGTCTCTTCTGAATGTTCCTCACTTACGTATTCTCTACTTAAACAACTCCTTTCCTGTAATTCCAGATCCAGACCTCTGCCAATCCAAAGGGAAACATCTAAACCCACCAAATGCATTGCAGCCATTCTGACATGGAGTGACAAGACTCAAAAGCAGCATTGCAGGTAAATGTGCATCTTTGAGTTATAATGCGGTATTGAACCATCACACAGCCTTCTTCAGCTGCTGCTGTGCCTTAGGCACGCACTTCATTGTGCACCTCCAGCAAGCCCCAGGGCTCACATGGCTTTCAGAAGCACCATGGGGCTGCAGGCCTGCAAGTAGCCCTGCTCAGCTCAGTAGCAAGTCAGAGGACTGCACAGCCTAGGCAGGAGTTATTCAGGACTTATTTCAGTGAGGCTGAAATACAGCCTTACACTGAGTTCATCCTTGCTGTCTGCACTCAAGCAGAGAACTCAAGAGCTTCACAGTGGCAGTCAAACCAAATGTCAGCATTGCCTTTTGCTTAGAGATGGAAAAATCCCATCATAGTCACCACCACGACATGAGCACCTACCAGCAGCCCCCAGCTGCAAGTTCTAATGCCAAGTGACAGGCATTTGCTCCCAGTAAGAAATACAGTCCTCCCTGTAGCCTTGGTTGCATCACCCAACAGGACAGCATTGCCTCAGTCTTTTCTGGCCAGAGCTGTGACCTGGAGTCGTTTTTGCTCAGCCGTGCTCTGCACATCTCTCTCATGACAGGGCCCAGACACAGACAAGTGACACTGCTGTCACTGGAGAGAGTTTGGGCTTTTTCCTGTCATAAATTTCTTTGTTGTTAGGAAGCTGACATAGAGAAGGGGATGTATGGCAACTTACTCCCTGATCATTGTTTTCTCAGCGTCAGTTCTGTCGCAGATTTCTAGAAAAGAAAAATACTCCATTGGGTAGAATGAAGAACACTGCTTTCAAACTAGCATCTCAGGGTTGACCTGTGCACATCTGTGGCTCTGTGTTTGGGGAGATTGGGAAAAGGGGATACTTCTCTGACATGTAGTTGGAAGGAGGGTCAGTAGAAGTACTAGCAGGACCTCCTGCTTCCACCTAGCCAGCTGTTTTTGCTATTCCTCTGTCAAACTTAGTGAGGTTTGGTAGTGCGTTCACATGTTGGGAATGAACTAATATATACACACACATACAAAATATGGTGTGGCCTCCTGTGTCTCGTTGTCTTACAAGTTCTGCTTACCCTTGGCCCAGCACTTTATTTGGTAACTACTTGAGGGTGCGTGGGATGTAGGTGGGGATAAGGAGAAGGGTGATTCAGGGTTCTTTCTGACTCCCGGTAAGAAAGGCCTGACAGCAAACGAGTAGCTGCTTTAGGCAGAAAAAGAAAAGGGATACAGGTAGTGAGTAAATTGCACCCCCCTTCAGATGCTGTGTACAACATGTTCAGATAGCATTAGAGCCTGGATGGATTTTTCCCACGTTCTGCTACACAAAGCAGATCTGACCCTGCCTGAGGAGAGAAGCTCTCTCTTTTGGCCACTTGAACTATTGTGCGATTTCCTTACAAGAAAACATCTCTGCTCCTGGAGGCTGTTCTCATAAGAGCACCTTGCCGTGCTGCACAATGAGGGCAAGGCCAGGCAGGTGGTGCAGGCAGTGGGAGCTGCCTGTGGGCTCCTGTTACACAGAGCCAGCTCTGATGATCCCACAGCGAGCAGCCTCTGCCGTCCTTGAGAGCTGTGTCCCAGGCACCTGCTTGGCATCACCGAACCCTATGTGTGCAGCAGCTCCTTGGATGAGATCAGTACCTCTCAGGGAGAGCTGGCTGCTGTGCCCCTTCTCTGCTTTGGAGAAGGTTGGCACAGGAACCTCAGACTCACAACCACTGGTTCTACTGTTTGTTTGCTTTCAAAGATGACAATGAGCTGGAGCTGGCTGCAGGCATGGGTTGGCATATTAAAACTCAGGCGTTGGTACCATCAGTCAAATGCTCTGAGGCGTCACTTTGCAAACACTTCCACACATTCTTGATTCCCATGAACAATGCAGCTGAAACCTACAGCAGCATTGTTTAATCCCCTCTTAGAGCCAGGCACGAACCTTGTGATCTAATGGACAAGTAGTTCCCAGAAGGATTCTGGGTGGCTGTTTTGTCACTGAAATGATATGAAAAAGATGGTCATAGCTCAAATAAATAATGTTCAGAATTCTTTTGCATTAGATTTGTTTTGAATCAGAAGTCGGAAGGAAAATTGCAGGTGTGTCATACCAAGCCCATACACCTTTAAAGGAATCCTCTCCCAGCATCCCCTGCTCACTTCATATGGGGCACTGCAGGGTACCACAGGCCTTAGATGTAGCCTTGTCTCTGGCTGTTCCATCATTGATGGTGAGTGTATGGCTCCTTCTTCCAGTCATGCTTTCTTTTGCTCCCATAGAGCATGAGGCCTTGCTACATTTGGTTAGGATTCTGTGTAATGTGATGTGGCGTAGTACTGCTTTTCAAGTTGGGTTCTCATGAGGCACTTTGGAGTTTCTGCTCTGCCAGTGAACTGAGATTGTGGAGAGGGGCAGAGACTGGATGGCCATAGTTTCTTGAAGTGATCTCATCACGTTAAGACACTGCGTATATACACAAATGCACCTTTGTCCTTGGAAATTCAATTTATTTGTTTCTTAATTTTTAATTGTTTAATTGTGGATGTATTCTTCTAAAAAAAGTGGTTGCTGTTATGGACCAGCATTTGTAAGCTGCTTAAGGAAAACTTCGCTTTCAGTCCTGACTAGATTTGCTTGATCTACAGGTAAAAGCTTTGCACAGCTACTGGGCAGGGAGCATTAGGACATGGTAGAAGAAATAAATGAAGGACATAAGCGTTACTATCTGATACTGTCTTTATGTGAAGATGCTTTGCAAGAGTAAGAAAAATGTGTGATGTTGCCATTGGTAGCCATTCTCCCCATGTGATAAGGAGATAAATTTGGTTGAGTGATTTCTAAGCATAAAGAGTTTGTGAAATACACTCTTTGATGTTCACACACATTGGTGATGGGATAGAGTGCACTCAACTTTGAATAGCATTCCATATGCTGCTCTGAAAGTGGGCTATCTGATTTATTCCTAACTGGTATGTTGTCACATGCAACATAGTAAGTTAAAACAGGTACTAAATGATAAGTAAATCCAAGATGGATGTTGTATCCATCTCAGCAACGTCCAAATGTTGGAATGCCTATTGAAGTAAGGCTTAAATGTTGAATTGACTTCAACATAAGGGCTGAAGTCTGCACTAAGGGCAAAAGTCTTACAAAATGTACGTGAAGGTCAGTGATTGTGGGAATTAAACATATAATTTTAGTTACTTTTGAAACTTGAATACAGATTGCAAAAGCTCTTCTTTAATGCAAATTTTCTTACCTACCTTGCATAGCAAATAGTGACCTCGTGATCTGGAATACATTAACAAAAATCTCTGCATTTTAAACTAAACAATATTTTCCAAGTTCATGTTTAATATGTGATTAGACCATGCTCTGCCTTTTGAAGTAGCAGATCCCAAATGGAAGTTGTTCCATAACTAGCCTTGTAGAAGCAGAAATGCAGTTATAAAGTTAAGAGATGCAATCTCTCGAGAACAAAGCAAAGGCTATGCTGAATTTGTTGTTATGGGTGGGTAGGTGGAGGAGGAAGAGAAATGAAAAATAAACATTAAAATTAAAAAAAAAATAAAAAGAAGTCCCTGACTGGAAGAACACAGTAACCTTCCCGCTGTACATAAACGACAAAGTAAATGAGAAACCACACACTCTACTTGGAGGCACAGCTTTCTTTTTTAAGAAGTCCCTTACAAAAGAGCAAGCTGGTGATTTGTACTTGCATTCTGGACCCTTTTCAAGCCCTTGTCAAAGAATGATAAATTACTGAAGGATATTATAAAGTAACATCTCTATTTACGTGTTCTGTAGTGGCTTCTGAAGTGTTTAATGTTGAAAGGTTAACTATTAATTGCAAAATAATTTGGAATTATTCCCTAATCGTTATTCACAAAAACAAAAAAAGCAATCCACATTCTCTCCCATGGATAACTGAAATGTTACTGTTCCCTACTTGTATTGGAGCTACTGGTACTTGGGAAGAAGTGCTGTCTTGTTTATCCACAACTAGAAGTATTTCATTTCCTTTATTCATGAAGGCACTATTGATGGCTTAAAGAATAAAGCAGGGCTTCAGAAATCTCGTTAAAAACAAAAACAAAAACCTGAACAACTTTACCACGAGGTGTAGTACCCTAAACTTTATCCTTGTCTTGAGGAACGAGAAAACATTCTGAAAAATCTGTATGTTATGTGCAATAACATCAGACTACCTGAACATTCATGGTTTATTTCTTGGCTGACTGCAAATAAAATGAGAAGCTATTTTATGAACTGATGCAAGTATCCATCTAAAACTGAGCTGGGTTTACTCACTGGTCTTTGATTAACTGGGAGCATTGTTGCGGAATGTAAACAAGTTCCAACTTCACTGCCTACAAAAGATTTCTCTTCCTCTAACACATAACCCCATGCTATGAGCTCGATATATATTTTTTTTCACTTTTCTGGCTAAAAATGAGCAAATATGGATGGTACCAGGTTGGGGGTAAGCAGATGGGAGAACAGGAGTGAGCAGTTTGAAGAGGATACACATTTATAAAACCTTTTGGATTTCCAGTCTGTTTTCAAGAGTAACTTTAGATATGAGTTAAAATTGCTTTTTATTGAAGAAATCCTTAGTGCATGGTAAAGAGATGTAAAAACAAAGGTACTGCAAGCAGGGCTGGGGAACAGAGGTAGGAGGTGATGCGGCTGCTAGCTGTGCTGGGGCACCAGCTGAGAGCTTTTCACTGGTGACTGACTTCCACAGCGGGGCAGTGCTGCCCCTCAGGGCTTTTCTTCCATTTCATTCCCCACCCCTAACTGCTGAAATGTCACCGTTGCATCCCTTCATTTCAGTTCCACGATTCAAGATGTTTGGGGTAATTTAACAGTCAGCAGCTGCCTTTTTTACCCAGTGACTCTTACTGCACTTTGGCATTTGAAGCTGTGTTTTCTGAAAGGGCCAGGTCATTGTCACCAAATGCTTCTCCCTCCCCAGCATTACTTAAACCCTTCTTTTGCCATGACTACATAGCTACAACTTGCAGTTCTTCTACACCTGCTTACCTACCGATTAGTTTTGCTGTGACTGCTAGTGTAACCAAATAAGCTGGTGCCTTGAATTAGTCTTGTGACACTCTTGCATGCTTCATTTTTATTTCTGTACAGCGGAACAAAACAATATTTTCAAACAAAAATATTCAGGAAGCTCACATTGGTTTACATTTATTTTAAAAAAAATTAAGCATTTGAATATCTCATCTGTGAATGATAAACTACAAATGAAATAGATCTCATCCATTTGGAGAGACTCACAAATACAGAAGAGCCTCCTTCTGGCATCTTCACATCCTTCTTTTCTGCGTGCTTATGTACAATACTGTGAAAAGAAGAAAGCAGTACAGTTAAGAAAGTTTCAGTAAGCAATGTGCAAAGCCTGTTTATTTAAAACTTATTACTTCCATGGCTTTTAAAAATAAGCGTAATGAATCCCTTTCAGCATAAGCAAAGTCAAAAACTTTTCAGTCCAGGCTCCAAGAAATGCTATCAGATTTACACGTTATGTACTAACTTGACTCAGTATTACGTTTATACTCAAACGCTATACCTGGAGTCACGCTCCAGGTGATGCAGACTGCACAGAATAAACCTGGCTACCCTGCAGCATTAACAAGGAGAGCATGATAGAATCTTAGGCAGTGAAATTAAGGGTGTTGGACATCCACATTATGATCTGTCAACAGAAGCTGGAAATTCCAAGCACTCCCTACAACGCTAACAAGCACCTATGAATCAGCAGACATCTTTCACCTACTTGGCTGCTGCTACCAGAACATCATGTCATGCAGTGCTTCCCATGCACTCTGTAGGAATGCTTTTGCCCTGGAGTGGAACTGTGCAGACTGTATTTTGAATGCCCATGTTCTGAAATTACATCATGCTTCTAAACCTGGAATGTCTTAAGTTCTTTGCTTAGCCTGTACTTCATTCTCCTGCCTCTCATCCATTTATTTTTAACTTTTGTAACAAATTCTTATTCCCAGAATTGACTGTCTGGCTGCAACATACACCTTACCGTAATGAGCTAAACTCTTTACAAAAAACAACAATAACTTGAACTCATTCAAGGATTGTTTCTTTCCAAAAGAACATGACTATGTAATGTGGGGTTCAGTTCTTGTTTCTTTCCGTTCCCTCTTTCCTAGTAACTTAGTCAAACTGCTTCATTTACCTACTCTGCCAGCCTCCTCACATCTGACTTGTGAACCTTTTCCATGTTTAGATATTCTTCTCCCTGGCATGTCCCACTGTTATAGCCTAACTTAACTGATACCAGAGCATCATTTCAGGAGCCTGGGATATTCATCAGCCTATGGTTAAAAGCAAGTTTCTCTTGTGGTGGGAAAGGATGCTAATTGTCCTTAAAGTGTACTACAATCCACCTGCTCCACTGGGATGTTCCAAGGCTCAATAGTGAAGCACAAGTGATTTTTCTCAATCACTTGAGATTGCAGAATCTTTAGTGAAAAGTAGCCTCCTTTACTAACGAACAGCATTCATCCAGGTCTGAGGAAAAGCACAGGCACTGAAAAGAAGCGCTGTAAAAAGTAAATACAGCACAGGAAAGAGGAGTTACCATTATTTCCTCGGATAAACGCATCCCCATACTTGTTCTTTAATTGGCCATTTACATATTCTTCTGTCTGTTCCAGAGCTATATTCATATACCCATCCAGGCAAGCCAGGACACCTGAAGAGACAGTGACAGTTAAGTGAATGAACTTAGGCTTATCTTTAAATTAAATAAAAAGGCTTCGCATTTGAACAGTGCAAGAAAAAAAATTGTGTCTTCATAACAAACTAAACTCCCAAGAGTGGTCAGGTGAGTCGTTCAGTGGCCCAGAGAGCACTAAAAGAATTAAACTGAGAGTAGGGAACCTCAGGTCCTATATATGACTAGATGGGGAGAACTCATTGAGACGTGACTTTTGAAAGATAACATCTTCCATTCTGAAAATTTAGTTGTTCCTTCTTGCTTTTGTTTTATGCCCTACTCTTGAGAAGAACCTGTGACATAAAGTATAACTGGGCAACTGAAGAACAAGGCTACAAGTTGAATTTTGACCAAAGCTTGTCAAGGATATACGTGAGAAATAACCCTTCTAACACAGGACACCATACCTTTTTTTGATTTTTTTTTTTCATTCTTATGGACTTAGAATAACATGGACTGCCAGTATGATTTTTGTGTAAATAAAATTCGACATCATCTTCAATAGGGAAAGAGCTTTTAAATGACACTGAAATCTTCAGCCAAATTTCTTTCAACTAAAGAGCAAACAGAACTTTTGCATAGTGAACTAAATGTGGGGATTAATGGATGTAAGGAACTGCTCAGAAGATGCAATGTGATTTGCTAATTGTGTATATAAAACAACCTCTTACAAGCTGCTCATCTCCATCTTGCCTGTGTTTTCCTGACTTCCTCCTTGCACACAGTCATCATTACTAAAAATACAACTACTAAAATGAAAAACTATCTAATTTACAATCTAATCGGAATTAAAAGTGAAGAAATGCATTACATTGGCTGTATTTGAGGAGGGGGAGAACTCCAGTCTGAGAATCTTCCTCTAGGGTATGTTCTCATTTTCCAGAAGCGTTACTGTAACATCTTCCATTAAATAATGAGGAATTTAAGTTTTCTTGCCAACTTGTAATGGTCTGAGGATTGTTATTTTCCCGTATGTGTTTTCCATCCCTCTGTTTCCACATAAATGGGGAAAATCTGACTGGTAACAAAGTGTTTTAAATGCACCAAAACCTTCCAAACTAAGTAAGCGACAACATTTTCACTCCAGTAGTCCTGAGTGCTTCAAGATAGATAGAAAACAAATGTTTACCCGAAACTGAAATTGGGCTGTGGGTTTTTTTTTAAGCTATCATTCAACTGGCCAGGGTGCATTTTCACTTGCTTCATTATTGTCTTCCTTTTCTTTGTATTTACACTTGGGACACTAATAGCATTGCATGCTGTTGCTGCCCACCCTGGCTCATATTTTACCTGTTTTTTTTCATCTGTATGTAGCAATATTTTATGTTCATATCCATCTGTGCAACTGATCACATGTGCACTTTCCCAGGACTTCTTCCCTTAATGCATACAGGGCTTGGCAGTGAACCAAGACATCTTACAGCAGCACACCAACACGTGTACCAGGCAACTGCTGTGTGCACAGTGCCTGAGAGGGTGGAGGTGCAGACATGAAATGAGCAGTGTACCTACAGGCAGAATCTAGACAGATCTGCAACAAAAGCCTGAGATGTTGGGTTTTCTGATGTTTGGTTTATGCAAATGATCAAATTTCTGTAGAGAAATGAAGTCTTTCTCAAATGTAAGCATCATGGAAGCTTCTGCTGCAGGACCATCATCAAGTGAGGGAAGTAGGGAGAACAGAAGGGAATAAAGGAAGGAAAATAAAATAAATCCTCTACCACATTAGGCTGGTGTCAAAACACCAAGATTCCTTGTCAAAGGACAAACAAGCACTAAGATGAGCCAGCTGAATTAAACCTATCTGAAGTAGCAATCTCTGGCACGATCATAATGTTTAAATCATTCCAGAATAAAACACCCAGTTTGTGCTCATAGAAGATGCATGATAAGAGCATCCAAACTTAACTAAGACTAAAAGAAATAATTGTACAGACTGATACTCTTAACCTATATGGAGTAGGAGCAAGACATCTCACTGAACGGACAAGTTTCATTTATTACTCCAAAAACACCCTATAATCCTGCATACAGCGCATGAAGGTAAACAGATCAGTTCTACAATAAAACTGATGGTCTGTGTTCAAAAATAGACAGAAACAAAAAAAACCAAAACCAACGCTGGGCATAGAGGAGCAAAAACCACACAAAGCTTTCTCCTGTATCCCTATGAGTCTTGATCCAATGCAAGGCTAGGCAGTTGTTTAACTAAGAACACAAACCATTGTTTCATCCCTCGTGTAAGAGTAAGCTTATTGCTGGCAGCACAGGTTAGTGTCTGAAGCTTTACTGGACTGAGGTCTGTGCCAGGAGTTGGAAAACAGGAAGAAGAAAGAAAGGAATAGCTTTAAATGAGGTGTTCTATCAGTGCACTGAAATGGGGACTGCCTGGACATTTTGGGAGGCATCATCCAAGCCTGGCTTTACAAACCTCCAGTTAGAAAATTGAACCTCCACTCTAACCACTGTGACTAGAGATAGCAATGGTCTCGGTAACTTTAATCTCTACATCTGCTCTTCTTCATCAGCCTCTCCAGTTTTTCTGTTTTTCCTTAGTATCACCATTCTGAGGTCTGTATTCACACACTTCGAGATGCCAGATCGCACTGTTTTGCTTTTTAAGAGCAGTGCGTCTGTGCCAGCCTCTCCAAACAATGAAATCACAGACAGGTGGAGATCTTACCTCGATAATCGACTCCAGAATTTAACTTCACAACAACTGGCCTTCCAATGATCTGTTTTAGGAAGTCACTAGGAGTTTGCTTTCGTAGACTCATCTTGATTTTTCTTGGTAAGCTGGGAAGAGATGTGAAATTAAGACATTTGGATAAGGAGGCATCCAAAGCCAGGCTGGATGGGAGTGTGAGCAGCCTGGTCTAGAGGGAGGTGTCCCTGCCTACGGCAGGGGTTGGAACTACGTGGTCTTATTGGTCCCTTCCAACCCAAACCATTCTGTGATTTTATAACGTGCAAACACGGACTTTTAAGCACTCGGTACAGACAGGACCCTGGTTAAGGCATGAGAAAAGCTGAAGGGGATGAAAGCAGAAGCTTATGGGTAAACGCGGGGACAAGACTCCTTGAGCCACACAACTCAGCCTTGCACCCGTAACGCTCTTTGCGCTCCAAAGCGGCACAAAACCTATCCCGACGGCCCCGTCCCAAGCAGGCGCCCCAGCGCCCACGCGGCCCTCAGCTCCCGCCGGGCGGAAGCGGCGCCCAGTGCGGATATGCGATCGGCCCCAACTCCCGCCGCACCGCGCCCCCCACCCTGTGCACAGCCCGGCCCGCTCCCGGCCGCTCGCCACCCCATCGTACTCACCCGCTGCTGCGCGCGCCCGGCCCCGCGCTGGCGACCAATCAGCGGCGGCCGCTACGGCGCGGCGGCAGGGACATGGCGCGCAGGGCGCGCTCGCTAAAGCGCAGCGGGTTCCGGCCGCCCCGAGCCACGCCGCCTCGGCGCTTCGGGGAGGAGCCGGCGTGCGCGTGTAGCGGGCTGGGGTCACCTGCTCCGAAGGGACGGGGCTTCGGCGTTCTGCGTCCTCACCCTGCTGTGGCCTGAAGTCTGGAAAACGCTTATTTGTGTTGGTTTTTAAATTGTCTTTTAGGGACTTGGTACCTTGACGAGCGTTGATAATCTGAAATCTTCTGGGCTGGATTTATTTTTATTTCTGTATTTCCATGATTGGTTTTGTACCTTGGTATAATGATTCGTCTTTGTAACGTGGGGAAAATGTGCTCCTGGGTTCGCATTCACTCTTCCATCCCGAGGTGTTTACCTTCCCAAACACTACTTCAGTGGCACTTTTTTCCCCAAAAGCTGAACCTCAAAGGCTTTAAAGGCTGCGTGGCCAGTGAAGCCCAGTCGCAGCATGCAGAGCATTGGGCAGCTGAGGTGGTTCTTGCAGGGAGCCGCACAGAGCTGCGCGTGGTGCCTGTCCTGCCTGTGCAGCGTCTCATTTTGCTACTGTTGATCTCTTGGTTCATTGATGCCAGTCAACAAAATCCTTCTAATTTCCTTTTTAATACTAAGCTTACAAACATACGTATTCTGAAAGACAGAAATAGAGATGGACAACAGTTCTGTATCCTTAGCTCACCTCTTCTATGGTTTGAAGCCGAGTTATGAACCCACATCTTAGTAAAGTTTTCCTGGTTTGCTGTAAGCCTTGAAACAATCTTCTGTGCTGTTCGGAGTAAATTAACATCCATGCAATAGGACGTACATTGCTGAGCACTTTGGTGTAGTGGGTTTTGCACCTGGAAAGAAAATTTCTCTCTTGCTCGTTCAGAAAGATTATGTAATGTAATCACAACTGTAAATACACAACCTGAAGAATGTATTATTTCCTGAGTCACTAAATCCCAGTGCTCAGGTAGGTGGTTTTCAAAGGAATTATGTAATCCATTCTGTAGACTCGTTGCAGGTTTCAAAGCTTCAGGTATGAAAAAATGAGACTCACTGTTTAAAGATTCTTCTTTTTGATTCAGTCATCTAGGTGAAATAGGATTTTGGTCTAAAACATTGCATGCATTACTATCACTGCATTCTTTAAAATATGGTGTTGCTTTATCATTCCATGAAGCAGAGAGAATTTTTCCAACTGTACATGTACATTTTCCAGTGTACAACTCATTGAAATCAGTGAGATTCTGCCTGTGTATTTTAATCAAGATGAACTTGAAAGGTGAACATTGTAAGTGATAGAAATTATTTATAATTTGGTAATAAAAGTTTATGTCTAACACTTCCCAAATTTCATACATCTGCTATGTGCTGGCCTTGAGATATAGAACAATTGTGATTGCCTTTACGTTTGGCCTCAGATGAAAGGTCATAAATTACAATGGTAGCTTTCAGTCCTCCCCAGCTCACAAAATTTCCATGATAGCTTCTTCACCTCAAACATAAATGGTAACGAAGTTTTAACGAGAAGAGTAGCCTTGGCCTTTGCCAGCTGAACTTAATGATGGAAGTCAGTTGCTCGTGTACTATTACTAAGTCTTGAATATGAAGCATCTCAGAATCTTTGTTCAGAGGACCTCATTACAATTTGCAGTTAACTTTAAGAAACTGAAATGAGATTTGACAGTTTCTCTCTCTCTCTTTTTTTTTTTTTTTTATTTAATACACTAAAAATCACTTCAAAGTTAGAAAGGTTTTTCTTTCCCAGCTACATGAAATAAAGGCATTTCCATAAAGCGAGATGGCTGTGTAACCCAGAATGTGTTAAGAAAGACTGTTCAAATCCTCCAGCTCTTCTGAAAAGAACACTGTTTACATAAGGTAAATGCAGAAGAACATCAAGCCAGATGACAAAGGAATGTCTGTGGAAAGACTTTGAATTCAGCCTAAGTAATCCCTGGCTACAATCAATGGACGGAAAAGGATTTATCCAACAGTCCTCACCAGAAAATTGTGTCATGGAGGCTGAGCCTTGTTTGGGCCAAAATCATAGCATACCTCATGATTTTAACAATCAACTTTGGTGCCTACTTAGATTAGAAAGCAAAAAAGCATCTGAAAAATGTGCAGTAAATTAAAGGGGTTGAGTACTAGTTCCAAATGCAAGGGAACTTCTTTTTCAGAGTCTCTGAGAGCACGGGGCAGAAGTTAACCTCCATGAAATAATGTCAAAGTGGAGAAGCTTTGCAGTTCAGGATTAACACTGTTAAAGTGCATGGTTTCCTGAAGTAAACGCTGTATGACATTTTTGGAGTCTGAGAGAAGCAAGGGGAAATTCTGCTCCCACTGAAGTCAGTGGTTTCTCAATACTCAGGACCTCACAAAAAAATCTTTGAAATACACTGGAAATTTCAGAACGAATCCATCTCAATGAGCAGGTACCAAAAAGGTAGCTGTTGGCTTACAGTTATCATGGCTTGTTTTTAGAAACTGAAGTTTCAGCAGCGTATCCTGGCTGCTGAAAAACGCCTTTGTCCAAAACTCTTTCAGTGGGTTCTGGTTCAGATCCTTTCCACACTCCTTGCTTCCTCCAAAGCTATCCCACAGGATTCTCATAGAAGAGCGGAATACATCGATACCTTGTGCTGCTCATCATCATGATAAGAAAGCTATTTCAACCCAAGTGGCACATCTGCTTTGAAGTCCTGAAATAACTCCTTTGCCTGAAGAATGGGGCTTAACTTTCCTCTCCTCTCATTGCTGTGGATGCCCAGGCTGTTGTCTGATAGGAAACTCATGGGTCAGATTTGCTCTTGGCACTGTTGAGAGGCTGCACACAAAGATAAATTGGTGCCAGATTGCACAAATATAACCTGGTGCCAGATTTGAGGCAGAGGACCACTGAAGCTGACCTTACTACACTGCACTTCCTGGCAGGCCACTCTCTGGAAGTTGGCATAACATCCTTGCTCTTCATGCCTTTCTTATTCCTTCTGGAGCCATGTTCTGTGCCATAATTTGTGCTTTTTGAAAGTATTCTTCCGATATCCTGGGGGCTGAGAAATGGGACATTAAAGAATTTGAGAATGCAGGAAAAGGCAACAGAAAAGAAACATAAGGATTGCTCACCTTTTCAGCAAACTTTCTGGTAAGCAGGCAGCTGTTCACAGGTCTTGCGGGTGTTGGGGATAACAACGTGAGAACCCATCCCAAGGCTTTCTCTCTCCCTTACCAGAATTTCAGGTTTGTTGGAAAGAAAGAGAGGATCTCCAGAAGCTTTCAGAGCTCACCTCCCTCAGAGTACCTAGCAGTGTTCCCCCAAGGGATGAGAATTTTCATGAACCTTGAGAGCTTTTATATTCTCTTTGCATGCATTTTGATGGGAGAATTCAAGCCTTTCAGCATGTAAATGATACTGTATCTTTGCCTATACAATGAAAGATCAAAGTTTTGGGTTTCTTTTTCCTTGAATGGAGGCTTACATATCCAGCATTATTTCCAAGAACAACAGAACTGCAGATTCCCAGCTATATTCTCAATTAAAAAGTTAATGCATTTTAAAATTGGACTTTAATCAAAAAATATTGGTTCTGTGCTACAGATTTAAGTCAAAGAGCCTAATAAAATTCTATTGTCTTCAGTTCCTTACTTTGTGCTCCCACTCCAGGATGTTCATGTCATCCAATATGCATTAAGTGACACGATTACCTTTTGTTGCATGTTTTTGTCTCCAGCTTCCAATTTGATTCAAACACAGTTTAACAGATCACATGAAAACTATGTTTGCACTCAGTAAAGACTACAAGCTCCACCTGCTTTTGTTGATTTGGTTTTTTGGGGGGAGGGCAGTTAGCTAGGCTATATCCAAATTATGATCATAGCGGAGCCAGTCTTCTACATTTAAGCTTTCTAAAATATTTACACTAAAGAAACACAAGTTCTCTCTTTTTTTTTTTTTTTTTTTCCCCCCCCCACTGTAGAATATCAATTCCAGATGATATTTCAGTGTAAATTTTTCCAAAGCCAGTTTGATTGTGCAGTTCATCATTTCAGGTTGATAATCCTGGTGTCAAGTTTAAGCCCAGACACAGGCTGAAGTGATTACTTTAAATTGACCTGCTAGTGTAAAGCATCATTAGTTCCCAGCTGCCCAAAACTGCTTCTGACACCCAGCTGAGAATATGAAGTAAACATGGAGCTGCTCTAATTTGTAGTGTGGTAAAGACTTCATCTCAAAATTCAGTGTAGCAGGAAGATTGGAAAGTGTTCGGCCACCTTGCTGTCCCCCTGGCCCTTTCCACCTGAGGATCCAGCTGGTGCTCTGGGACACAAGTTGGGAAGACTAAGTCTCTTTGGGGAGCTGTCTGGATCTGCCATTCCCTGACTTCTTCCAGCCTCTCAGTAAATTTTTCCACTTATCTGAACCTTCTCAGGTATTTTGTATAGAAGGAAAATATGTGTTGACCTCTCCTGAGAGAGATCCTTAGGGACTTTCTGTGGACTTTAGCAAGCAGTGGATTGTGGATCGAGCCCAAAATAAGTTGAGAGGTTTTTTGTTTTGTTTTGTTTTGTTTTGTTTTTCTGTCAACACAGAAAATGTAAGACGTAATCCTGAGCCCAGAAGTGCTACTTCATGGTAGGGGGCAGCTAGCACAATTTATTTAATTGTTGTAATAGTAGTAAATTGGGTTTTATTGACACAGAGCACAACATCACATATTTTAAAAAACAAAACAAAACAAAAAACCAGTGTAGATAACTGAGAAATTTGAAGCATTTGCTCTGTGGAGAAAAGAAGGAAAAAAAAAAAAAAAAAAAAAAAGATTTGAGGTTTCAAGCTCTGGAGCTGTTAAGTTTTTGTTTTAGTTGTTTGTACAGTATGCAGAACTCATTAGACATTACTGAAAT